GCACAGAGGTTTGACAATCAAAGAGAGAAGAAGAGCTGATATAGGCGTTGCTTTCTCCGTGCCAATGGCGTCTTCAACTTCAATTGTCAACCATCCATCAAACTCCCAATGCTAACATTTGCCGTTTTTCCTCTCAATAAATTGAAAAGTGAAAATAAATTTGATGTTTTTAATAACAAGAACCAATCAAATGAGGCATTTGTGTTGAGCAAAATTGAAGAAGAGCGCGGAACGCGCGCATGTGCATGATCTCAGTATCTTATATTCACATGTTACATGCCAACATGTCACCCTCCTAATGATATGGGCCCCATGTGTTCTTCGTTTGCCCTTTTTCAATATATACTTAAAATTATCTAAAATACAATATGCATATTTTTTAATATCACATTTTTATACTTTGATTTTACATAATTAAATTTTATAAAATACATATTTTAAAATCAATTTAATAAATTTTATTTAAATATATTTTTACCAATTATAAATTTTAAATAAGAAAAAGTTAAAAGATTAAGATAAAAAAATTCTTTTCATTTTTTCTCTAATTCAGCCTTTTAAATTAATGAAGGCTTGTCCTTTTATAAACATTCACACACGCATATATATTATGTCGAATGACTAGAGACCTAATTTTTACATAATACACATATATTCTTTTCATCCTAACTTTTTAACATAATTTTTTTTATTTTTAAAATATAATATCTAGTTATTCGTATTAAAATAGCATATCATCAAAATGGATTTAAATGAAAAATGATATAAAATTGAATTGTTAACGTAAATACAAAAATATATTAAATAGTCTTACTTTGATCATATCAAAGTGTCTCTTTGCTTTGCCCAACTTGGAAGAATTCATAGAGTTGTGTCTAATCTAAAGCAAGGTCATTGATTTTAGCCTTTAATAAGCAATAAAAAAGGGTTGACTTCTACAAACCAAGAAAGGATTAGAGATTTTAAATTCTAGAGTTTACTTTCAATTGAAGTATAGATTTCCACTTGGGAATTGGATGAGAAATAGCCATCAACAAAATAAAATTTTAAGTATTTGTAAAGATAACATAAATAAGTCGGGCCAGGAGCCCAGCTGTATAAAAATGGACCCCTTGTTTCGTGTCTTGTGCATGAAACCAAATGGCTGTTACAAATATTACTGCAAAAGTCAGTTGAATTGTTAAATATTAGTTAGTTATATATACCCAATCTATGTAGCAGGCTTTAACCTAATATTTTGTAATTCATTTTACCAATAATAATAATCTTATCTTAATATTTATTTTCTCTGTTTTATGAAACTAAATCCCTAAACTTAAACGGCTCCGGTTCAGCACTTGTCGACCATCCGCCATTCACCTTTTTCATCACTCTTCGACATCTTTTTCGATCATCATATATATCATTAAATTTGTCTCATTATCTTCTATCACTTTATTTACTTATATTATTTCAAAATCTTTTTAAAATTCACTTAATTAAATAAATTGGTCTCTAGCATTGTTTATCACTTGATTAGGGGCATGCGGCTCCCTCTTGCCTCCACCACTTAGCCCTCTCGTCTTAGTCTCTATTTCGTTCATTCAAGCATTTACGTATTCCATTTATGTATATATAGATTACATTGGTGTTGGCATGTTCTGCAACTTCCTGCCCTCCTTCCAGAACATAATTGGTTAGTATGTCAACTGTTGTTGCACCATCCATCTTCGTTGGCTCAGTGTCGTTATCGCCACCGTCGACGACCCTATCTATAAGCCGATAAGAAACCTAGAAGCCTCGTGACTGGACCACGTTCGGGCAATACCTGAAGATGAACCCTTTCGCTGCTCGTGTTGTGAGGTTGTATTTGAGGGATTGCTTATGAGAAGAAGAAGAATAAACCACAACAGCAGCAACTACACTACTCGACGACCACTAATGATGTCAATGGTAGCCAAATTTCAGCAAGATGGTTATGGTTCAGGGTCAGGCCAATCCTCTGATTCGAAGGCTGACTATGGTAAATGAAACAATTTGGGTGGCTCGGGAGGGTCCATTATCGCATTGTCTGTGCTTAACTAGAGTGAACGGGGATGATCATGATTAAATTTGTATAATGCATGGTTTTTACGCTTCTAAATTATATTCAGAAAAAAAACAACCACGTATGTTTAGTATTTTAATTTAATATTGTGAAAACTTATTATTAGAAATAAGTAGTGGATGAAGGATTCTTGCATTATTGGATACATTGTTTTTTTTTTGGCACCAATTAATCACCAAATGCCTTTATTACTTATTAGTTGTAAAATTTTACACTTCCATCTTCACCTTCTTCTTCTTCGGATTTCATTTCATTACTTTCTATAAAAAAAATTCATTTCATTACTACACTAATTGCTATAAAACAAAAACAAAAAATGATTATCGACTGAATTTAATTCAATTAGTGTTAATACTGATATATTGCACAAAAAATCATGAAATTAAACACGTTTATGCATTCAATATCCTCCAATTTATAAGTGGAGAGATGTTTGAGTAGTACAAACATTATATATAAAAAAAATTGACTCAAGTGATGGCTATAACAGTCAACAAATCAATGAGATTAAGACGATCATAACAAACAAATTTTATAATGATATAAATCATTTTTTATCTTTGATGGAGAAACATGTCGGTGGAATCGTAAAACTTTTCATTAAGTTGAGGCACAAGAATAAAACCCAACGCCGAATGGATGGTGAGTAGATTGGTGAGGAAATTAAAAGAAACATGAGAATTAAATTTGCAGGATTGAAGTGGATGGGTTGGTTTTCTTCTTTCATCCAAATTCATTCATTGTGGGCTTTCGTTTGTTACCTCACTTTCATCCACAATTGTTTTTCTTGGACTGCTTCAAATGAGACCCTTGTGAGTATATCAAATCATAATTTATTAAACTAATATTTAATATATTATTATTGAAAAAAATATATAATCAGAACTGAAATGATTTTTTAAAAACATTAGACATCCTAATTTTATTCGTGAAAATATTATTTTTCCATTATTAATATATTTGATAATAACCCTCCTTTTATACATATCAGCTCAAGACAAAGCAATAATTAATTCAATCCACGGATAGGTACGTATCTAATGGGTTATACAATGCCTCTTGTTCTTGAGTAAAATGCTCTTAAAATTGATATTTTAATTTATAGAGTAATTTATTCATTTTAACCCCCGAATAAGTTATAATTTATAAGTAGTATATTTGTCTTTATCCAAATGGTCATGGGTGGGCAGCACATACAAATATCATCCGTCCCAGTCCACTACACGTTGATATATGTAATAAATTAAATAAATTAAATAAAGTGACTGACTAATCCAAAAAAATAAACATCAAACTTGTATTTTACACAAAAGACAAGCATCGAATCAAATGGTATCCTAAATCTCCACATCTTTAGGCTTTTTTGTTTAATCTATAGAGCTTATTATTATATTAAGGAAAAAAGTGATTAAAAGGTTGTTAATGGGGCACAAAAGGAGTTATTTTGTTTTATTCATACCTTATGCACAAAGTTGAGATCATGATCGATAATGATATTAGGATTTTGCAATAATTAATTTACTTCTTAGCTCTTATAATTACTTTCTCATGCATCAAACAAAATTCCATGTCATCGGAAATACCCACTTCACTTTGGTTTGATTAAGGATAATGTAATTATGTCGTCTAAACTAGGTGTAGTTAATTATTTATTTGAATTTTGTAAATGGATTTTTAAAAAAAAAATCAATCAACTTGATCCGACATAACTTCAATTATATTTTTAATAATTAAATTTGAACAAAAGTTTAAGGAATGAGTTGAGACTTGATAACTAAATTATAGCTAAAACAAGGGCTGCATGCATGATAAATATTGAAAGGATAGAAAAATAAAGATGGAGCAAGTGGGTGTCTTCAACAAACTTGCAAAAATAAATGCTTTCTTTTCAAAATCGTGAGTAATAGTATCAACCATGAAACCCCATTTACTTTTGTTTTCTTGTAATGAATATATTATGACTTCTCTCATCCCATCAATCAATCAAATTACGAAGCAAGAAAATCAAATTATAAAAATAACGATATTACTAAAATTTAATGAGTGATAAAGATAAGGTCGAAAAAGTTGAAGTTATACTAAAGAATTCAATCTGACGTTGATATAAGAAGAATATATGGTACGAGAAATTCGAGAAGATATTAAGTGAGTGCAAACGGATTTAGTATCATGTTAAGCATTAAACCAATTTTACCATTTCATTGCTGCCATTTTCGTTGGTGTAAGAGGTCAACTTTGGACACTTGTTTTCCTCCATTGAAGTGACTTCTATTGTAAAGATATCTTAACTTTCACTAAAGTTGATGGATTTTAAGGCATATTCACTATTCTTTGTATTAATTAATTACTTCGGATATAGTTTAGGTCTATCATAGTATTAGACCTCAAAAGTTTTAGGGGAAAACTTCACATGTCATGAAGCTGCTTTTGACCAGCACTTCTTCAATTCTGTCCAATTGATTATATGCTAATCCCAGTACGAAAATGAACGGGAGAGAGTGCAAATCGGGGTATTGGGATCTACGCTAAATGCTTATTTGTTTTAAAAGCTAAGGTTGTGTGGTTCAATTTGAATTATTGTTGCTGTAATAACATACAAAAGGACATAAGTTCCAGCGTATTTAAGTATTCATATAAAATCTTAAATTTATCCATAAATTTTCAAATGTTTTAATTGAATTCTTATAATATCATTGTCATATCAATTAAGTCATGTGTTCTACCCATACGAATATATTACAAAAATATACAATGTCAATAAAATTTAAGTCGGGAATGTTATCACCCAACCCTAAATTGGGTGGGACATTATACGTTACAGACGTGCTCGAATCTATGTTTTCTCTGTAAATCCCTGTACATACAAAAAAGATTGAGAATACAAGTGAAGCTTTATTTTTCTAATAAATTGTTATTTATTTTCTTCACGTCCAAGCAATTTGTAAATCTTTTTCTGGGTTTTTAACAACAGTGATCACCCACGTTGAGAAGAAAATAAAGGTGAGGGGTTAAATAATTTGTTCCACTTGACAACGAAAAGAAGAAGAAGAAAAAGTGAAAGAAAAGGGCCGGCAAGGGCAAGTCCCATCCCCGCCTCTCACTGAGTTATCACCGAGTCATGTCTTATGGGACGTACTTGTGTCCACTGTTGAAACCTTCTGTTCCTCAGGCTTTGTGTCCCATCATCCACACCAATATTTCCAAAAGGAAAAGTGAAATTAATTGTGGGGACTCACTGAGTTCGCTCCCAGTTCAGCAGCCACCCTTTCTTTAATCTTGGCGACACTGTATATTCTGGTAAATAACAACATACCATAAACAAATCATCCCCCACAACCGCATGCAACTTTCAAAACCCTCTTTTTGGCTTCACTCAAAACGAAGCATTGTTGTTGTAATCAAACAGCAATGGATCGATGGCTTTGTTTTCGTTTAGCACTTCATCTTCGGTTTCACGTCCGCCAAACAATAGGTTCAAAGTGTCCGTCTCTAGTTCTAGTTCATCCAAATCTGCAAAGAAATCCTCAGTTTGCTGCTGTGATTTTGGCATTGCAGGTATTTCTTCTTTAACCGGTGTGCTCTTTGTGTCGTTGTTGCTGTTGGTCTCTTTGGCTGTGTTTTGGGCTTGAGAATTACTCGGTGAATCAATCTTGGGACCGGAACTAGTACTACTAGCATGGGCTTTCGATGGCTGAGACTGAGACCTTGTTGAACCTGCAAGTGCATTTATTTGGGTTGGCCATGGATGATTGTGCTCGGATGTGTAGGTGATCACGAGCATGTTCGGATCGGTTCGGCTTCGTTCCACTTGTTTCCTGGCCGAGCAGCCTTTGGAACTGCTGCATCTGTAGTATCCCCTGCAGTACAGATAATTACACGAATCAATTTCATTTAGTGTTCGATTTCTGTGTTAACCATATAAGCATGTTTAATTTGATGATGATGTTGATGATATGATATTAACATGATGACAGCATATGGTGAGTAACGCATGCATAAAATATACCTTGGATAAGGGGAGCCTTTGATAGGTTTCTGGCCATATTTTCGCCATGCCCACAGATCAGAGGGAACTACTTCACCACTAGACCGGCTGTTTGCAGCTGCCGGTGCTGGTATACACACCACCTTCTTGGCCTGACTGTTTCTGCATGTTCAGCCAAACAAATATAAACAACAAAACAATCTTCCTAAGCAAGATTGTTGTCTGTCTGCTCGAGTTGTACAATTTAAGGCAGGGTCATCACTTATCAGACATAAAATGCATACTTCCCCTTAAAGATGTACCATTTCTGGTTTGACTCAGCCATGCATATGTATGCTTCCCCTTAATGTTAATTACTTTCTGACAATATATAAACCCTAATTCATAACATCAAGTTGACATCAATTTCGAATACGATCTTAGAAAATTATTTTTCCTTCGACTTATTATATATAAATATGTTTATTTGGTTAACTAGAGAAATAAATATTACCCTAACCTTCTCTTGATACCCAGATTCCGCGGAGATGAGATCTGCTGTACCGGGACTGATGCAGTGGTGTTATCAATCAAGCAACCTTTTGAGGTGTTTACATTAAGCATGCCGCTTGGGAGCACAGCAGGCGCCTTATGTCCCCTGGGAGAAACACAGGCAGCAGCCATCACCTGTGGATAACACGGCGGCGGCTGCACGGGTCGTGGACTGGAGTTATGACCATGAGAGATCTGAACCCGAGAAAAAATGTTACAAGGACTCGTGGTATCATCATGACCACTGGCGGAAAAGCTTGAAGTGTCTTCGATAATAATCAGATGATGATCGTTGGTGGAATTAGGGCTGCTAAAGTAGCTCGAACTCGAACCGTTAAGCTCGTGAAGAAGTGGATCTCTCATGGTGGAAAAAGGGTCACCGAAATCGTTTATTCTATGATATTCCATGGCTGCCGCCGACAATGAAAAACTCAGAGGATCGGAGGTGAATTCCTGCCATGGAAACATATCTGATTGTTGAGCAGCAGAGGCTTGAACTAGGTCGCTTAAATCACCTTGATAATTTTCCATTTGTAGACCAAAAACACTGCTCATGGTAACACCAACACAAAAGATTACATATTTACATGTAAGAAACAACCGATTCCACCATTTTACTTCTCTCCAGCTCCCCTCTGCGCTCTAATTTGCACCGAATAAGGTAGCATAAGTTGAAAACATGCAGATTTATGTCAATTACTATGGTTTTTGATGTAAGAACGGAGATGGGTTTTGGTTATTACAAGAAACAAAAGCAAAGAAGGGTGTTTTTTCTTTTCTTTTGGAAGAACGAGAGAGAGAGAGAGAGAGAGAGACGCTGACTTTTCATACGAAACTGCTTTTTCTCAGCACGCAAACTAGAACAAGTTGAAGAAGGTGTCGAAAGAACAAAAGAAAATCAGTTGCAAACTGCAAAATCAACTCATAAATAATACAACTGTAATCAAATAGTAAAGTAATGAAGTCGTGAGGTGGGGAATTTGTAGTTTAATGCCTTCTAGCATATTAGTCTATATTTTTTTTGATTAAATTTGAATAATTAAGTTTTTAGTCAAATTATTTTAATTTTTAATAAATTAAAAATCAAATCATTAAAAAATCTCACAATATCAATATAATAATTCATACAATAATCCATATGTATTTCATTATTAACATAACACAATGTGTTGTCACTTTATTATTATATATAATATTTTAATAATTAAAAAGAGTTTTATTTTTTAGAGATTTTAAATCTAAATAATTGTGCTTATATAGTTTAAATATATTTATTGTCAATAGTTATGTTGTGGCTACCTATACTAATAGAAGAAAATATAAGAAATGTAAAAAGGATATTACCTTTACCCAAAGGTTTGTGATGGAAAAGTAGAAAACCGCAAATCTCGGAGGAAGTGGGTTTGAGCCATTGGGTGCAATTGTCCAATGTGTCACCATAATATAAAATACCATATAAAATATAAGACATCTTCAATAAAACACACTTATTTAATTATATTTTTAAAAATAAAAATAAGATGAAATTCACAAATATGGCAAAGTGCATACGATTGAGTAGATATAACTACGTTTTCATTCTTCTTTGTTGACAACACATCCCTCTTTCTATGTCATTGGCCTAACCTTATAAATGTGCACATCCCTCTTTCATTTTTTGTATGTTTAAAATTCAGTTCGTATTTTTATTCAAATTTTAGTATCCCTATTTTTATTCAATTTAAATTATAAATCTCATCTAAATTTTAATTTATATCACGTAAAAGTGGTTATAATGTAGCTTGAGGCTTTAATGGTTTTGTATAGGGATAGGCATGGGTCAGGTAAGGTCAGGTTTTTAGCCAATCCGATTCCGAAAACGATACATCTCACCCAAATTCGATCCGATCCGAAAAATATACACCTTCAACCTGATCTGATTTTTTTGAGATAAAATCTGAATCCGACCCGACCCGAAATAATATATTTATTAAAAATATTATTTTTATTCAATAAAAATGAATTTTAATTGAAAAAAATAATATAGAGACAGTTATCGTTAAATATAAAGATAAAATTATATATATATTTTTGATTAAGTCAAATCAATATCTTTTAAACTAAATTCGAACTGACTTGACCGAATACAACATCTAAAAAATTGATACGACTCGACCAAAATCCGATTATTAAAAAAAAATCGACCGATCAGGTCCCATGTCCAATCCTCGTTTTGTACCGGAGACTAGAATGGAGGTCAAATGATACAACGTACTTTGGGTTTGGGTTTCGGCCTAAAAGTAGGGTTCCTTTGATTTACTTTTGAGTTTAAACAAAACCTAAATCTTACATGTTTGATTAGACATTTTCACGTCTTTTGAGTTCACCTATGAAAGGTTTTATTTTTTTATTACCAGTAAAAATAAAGTAGGAATAAAACGAGGGAGTTAATTTTTCCTAACTTTGTTGGCCAACCAGCTATAATCTTAAATATTACATAAATGAGAAGAATCGAATGTACAACAATTATTAATGCTCTTGTTGAATGGACACTTGTCTAAATGGCTGTCCTTTGTTTCCATATGTAATGGGGTAAGGGGGAGGTAAGATAGTAGGTTGCCCCCAACACTAAGTTGAGAGCAGCTTCCGTAGGAGACCTCCAAATTATGAAATGGCTTCCATAGGACTCGATCCCACGACCTCTACCAAATTATGAAATGCCCTCCATAGGACACTTGTATGATTCTTTCAAACATTATCCTATTATTCTTTAAGTCATGTGAGGAGCAATGATAAGGAGGAAGAGAATCATTAGAAATTACTTGTTATAAACAAATCTGAAACTCTCTTGTAATAAATTCTCCACATGATTAATATATAGATTCACCGGGATTCTGTTGGTGGCCCATTGCCCCATTCATCCTGCCAAAACCCTACTTGTTGGTGGCTAAAAGATAAAATTTTATAATAATATTCAAATTATAAAGGATTTATGGCATACAATAACCATAATTCTGACTGTTTATTTATAAAATTAATTATTCGATGAGTAAAAAAGTAACAGGTATACTCTTGCACAATTTGAGTATTCAACAAGGTCCATATCATGGAGAGGATCTTCACAGACATCATAAATCATCATTTTTCATATTGCGGGGAAGATTTTTCCATGCATTTTTTTAGACTAAATCAAAACGAAATTTGAATTACAGACTCTGACAATAACAATAATCAAAATCTCAAGTTATCATTCCAACAATAACAACAGATGATGTTTATCGACTTAAACCTATTAATATGATAGACCAAAGTTTATCAAATTAAAATAGATAATAAGTTTCAAGATGATAAAGGGACTAAAATCGCAAGTGAAGCGATGACTATTCAACACGCAGGTTAATATTTCCTAGCCTTGCCCACCATCATCCTCATCTTGCCATGTGAAGCAAGCCCGTAATCTCATCGCATTCAGTTTTTAAAATTTCTTGGTAAATTAAGATATATAATTTAATTATAGTTATAATGAATGGTTAGAGGCTGACAAATGGTATTAAATAACGTTGATTTTAAGTTGGACTCGTAAAAATATAACGTAAGAGATGTGTTTGCAGGCTGGTAGTTTGAATCCAAGTAGGTCTTATTCGATTAAGTCCAATTTAAAAGTATGGCCACTTCATTTTTCCAGCATTATTATATTATATTCGGACTGATTTTAATCGAAAAGGCTCCATTTATCTAAAATACAACGATACAAAGCACGCCGATGTGGATCCGGCCCATACCCAAAGCTATTCCTCAGCAATATCCAATAATAGCCTTGTCGCCACCATATTTATGCACCACCACCAAGGCGAGCTCAAACGAAATGGAGGCAGCCGGCACCGACTCCGACGGCAGAGAATTCAAAAGCTCACAGGAAATGTGGAGAGAGCAAGTTGGAGATGGTGGAGATGATCCTAAGAAGTCTCAGTGGTATCGTGAAGGCGTTGCTTACTGGGAAGTAAGTCCACTTTTAACTTTGGGTCTTTCATTTCTGTGGGAACCCAACTGATGAAATACTTGGTTTCTTTTGTTATTGTGAAAAAAGGGTGTGGAGGCGTCCGTAGATGGGGTATTGGGTGGATTTGGGCAAGTAAACGATGCTGATATTAATGGCAGTGAAGCTTTTCTCAATACCCTTTTGCATGAAAGGTTCGGTGATGCTGGAAGAAATCAGCATCTCGTTGCTCTCGGTACTTCTTTTCTCTGTGTACCTTTGTATGTGTGTGTGTGTCTTACATTTTTATGTATTCAGATACCCAGTTTTGTGCTGTTGATGTAGTTTTGCTTATATAGATTATATGTATATTTATTCAGTGAAAGTAGAGGTCCCATTAATTGCGCAAGTGCAAAGTTGCTGTAGCCATAGGTGGAAAACCTTATACTATGAATTAATAGGAAAACATGGATGGGGATGGTAGATATTGGGTGGGATGTTGAGTTCAATATCTGTCATTAGTGGCTGAAACTGGCTAACAAGATAACTTGAGAAGACGACAATGAAACTTATGTTCCATATCCCTCTCCTAAAATGAAGAATAGGAGAAGAAAATTGTATCAACCACGGGAAAAAGGCATGGTTATTCACATAATTACCAATTTTTTAATTGGGATGATCTGATCACCAATTTTAGACATTGAGCTTATGGATTTACTATTGCCTAAGAGATGGGAGAGGGTATGAATACTTCTGACTTGTTGGTCTATACCAAGGCAATTGATTAGATTCATGCAAAGGAAATGGTTAGGAGAAATTATTTCATTAACTATTGGGGATTTTACTTTAAAATGAAGATAATCACAAATTGATTATAAATATCTTGATAATAGATGCACTTAAGCACTTAGCTCAAATACCTGCGTGTATCCAATACATGAAGAGCCGGGTTGAAGCTTCCCCTTCTAAAATTAAAAGGAAAAAAAATGATAATAGCTGTATGTTCCCTCAAAATTTTATCATAGTGTGGTTCATGTTACTTGAACTAATGCAAACTTTTCAGTGATCTCAGTGCTCGATATGGAAAACCTTAGGGCATGGAATGCTAAGTTAAACACTACTAGTTCCTAAGATTCTGCTTTACACTTTTACTAACATTTACTTTTAAGTCCATGTAAGCAGTAGTAATATCTGATAATGGCGCTAAAGCATAATTAGAATATTGCTAGGGCACTGACCTCTTAGATATATCATTTATTCTTGATGCTTTTAATTGTAATTACAATCACAAATTATTTGACATTCTAAGCTCTTAGGTTCCATGGTAATTAAAATACTGCAGATTGTGGTTCTGGCATAGGGAGAATAACCAAAAATCTTCTCATAAGATATTTTAATGAGGTGAGTTCTTTTTCCTCTTTCTAATGGTATATTTATAATATTCCCTACATTTACCATCTTTGCAGTTAACGTACATTTGATTCATAGTAATGTAAAGATTTTCCTGCTGTATTTGAATGGAAAACAAAAATGGTCGTTCATTTTAAAGAACATTGTTACATAGGAGTTATTCATATATACTTCTAATAGGTTTGCTTGATCATTTCGTAACTATACGATTTTTATTGGACTAGAAAGGCTAATTTGAATTCATAACCATATTTCTATTAAAGAAAACCAGAATAATGGCTAAATTTGAAGTTGGAAAAAATGGTTTGGGGTTCTAAAACCACAATCAAGTGATATCCAAGTATGATACAACAAGCTAATGTGTTTAGAAGTCTGTTTCTAACTGTGTTACACCAGCTAAGCTTAGCCATTAGAACTCATTGAAAAAATACATGCTGGTCACA